AAAATGAATACAGGTCTCATTAATATTCACACAATATTGGACAGAGTTTGTGATTAGGTGGAATAAATTTGCCTGTGGCATTTTAGAAAATATTTAATTATTATAGTTTTTAAGAACTGCCTTTTTATGTTCAAAGAATAATATTAACTCACAGTAGTCAGTATTTTTTTAGTTTAATCACTGTCAAACAGTGAGCATGGATTTTGAATTAGCTATATACAGTTCTGAAAACTACATTTACTGTGCAGAATCATATGAAACAACTTTGAATAAAATTAATGCTGGATTCAGAATAATGGCATATTTCAAAGTGTCTTAGTAAACATCAGGGGGTTTTTGAGTACTTTTATTTATTTTCTTACTGTTCAGAAGATTCTTTGTAGTATGGTCACAGTTAGATGCATGTTTAATGAAAATAAAAGCTAAAGCCAAAGAGATGAAACAGAATGGAAGAGAAAGGAAAGTGTACATAGGACCCACTTATGATTATTGATTCTAAGACCCTTTCAAGCAAGAAGATCCAAGGGGAAATGAAAATCTTTTTCACCAAATGAATGAATACACTGCAAGGTGATCTAGAGAAGGAATAAGAGAGTCTAGGGCCCAAACACTGAGACCAAATAAGCTTTTTCCTACACAGGAATGTGACCAGTCATGCTCCTCTTAAAGAGTAGATTTCCTCTGCCAACAGTAGAAGAAAAGTCAAGCAAATATGAATGGATGCGGAGCTCAGAGGGAGCCCCCACTAACAAAGAAAGAAGTATCACTGTTGTTTCCAGAGCAGAAGAAATATAATATACAAATTAGTCTAGTAATGAGGACTGAAAAGATTTTTATTGAAATGTAAAGCCACATGGATTTGTAATTCTTGTGTCTGGAACAGTGCTTTACTGCTTACCACCCATAGACCTGTATGTTTATGCTGATGTGACTGTGTTACAAAGATGACTCTTTGTGAAGAGAAACATCAGGTCACAAAACCTATGATCCTTTAATATTTGTTTCAAATAACTATTGCAAAATTGGAAAATCTGTGAGATGTTTGTGTTTTAGTCTTAACCAGTTGCTCGTTTTGCTCATATGGATGAAACATATGGGGTCTTGTAAGAGATATGGTTTCTTGATAAGTGATAAGCTTATACCATGCCTTGCATCATCTTCTAAAAAATAGCTCTATTGTAACAATCCAGCTTTAGTAATTCCAATTTACTTCTTACTATAAGAAATACAGTAATGAACTCATAACATATGACAAAGACCTTTGTGCTACTCCCCTTCCTCAAAGTTTCTTTGAAATACCTCTGATAGTTCCTGAGCATACCAAAAAGATGTAATCAGGGATTCAGTTTCATATTCTGGGAGAGTGCTGTGCTCTAACTTAGCAATGTCTCTTTTTTCCTCAACAGTTAGCACTCTCAGTTATGGGCAATGGCACTTTCCCAAAGCAGGAGCATATAGAAGGTAATTTTGTTCAAGTTGCCCTTGCTGTCCTACTACTGCAGCCTTGTCTGTAGGTGCATGCTGGTCTTTGATGGCACAGCAGAGAGCTTGGGTATGAATCTCTGTGCTTTGCAGTCTTAGATGTAGTAAAAGAACACAGGTAGTGCTGGTTCCTGGACAATCAGAAAAGATTAGCAATATCTGTTCACTGTGGGATTTTGTTGTTGTTTACCATCACTGTAGTCTGTTTTAGTCAATGCTATTGAAAACAAATTCATTCCTTTTGAAAATTAATATCCTGCACCGAAGAAATAAAAAATGTATGTGTGCAAAGGTAGAGTACAGCAGAATTGCCAGAAAACCTTGACATCAAATCTGCCAGTCTTCCCATTCCAAACCTATACAACATGTGCTTGGCTGAGATGGAAAAGGCAAGATAGGTGACAACCCAGATACACAGAAACACAAATATATGTTTTAAAAGCAAGCACAAAGGTAAATGTTTAAACTGTCAGGCACCTGGTGCATTTTTCTGCAGATTCACTAAGTTAATAATTTAATTTGTGCTTGTTTTGGTTGATTTGCTTGTGCTATGTATTTTTAAAATTTTGGTCTTGTCCACCTCTTTTCATATGTGATTGTACAAAGACCAGCAGAGTGAGATGAAGGAAGCTTTTGAAGTATTTTTTATATATCGGGATTGGCCTTGATTATAATACATTCTTCCTGAGCAAAATTATTAAATAGCTGTCCTTCAGTTATTAAATGTAAAAGGGATGCAATATCCAAAGAGCTACTTAAAATTGAAAATCAGAAATATCATAGGAAATTAAAGATTTTCGTATAATAGTTATTAAATTTTACTGAAGGCTTCCAGAGAATACATTCTGGAATAGAAGGCATTACTTTTGAGATCTGCTGATGAAAAAATATGTAGATTTAGGATCATTTGTATTGAAGAGGGTGAGATAGAAAGCATGATGTTCAACAATCCCTAAATAGAGAGGTGGTGAAAATAGATATATTCACTGAATATATATACATATGTGTCTGAATATATATACTCTGTATATAGAATATATTCCGTGAATATATTATATAGTCACTATCTAAAGTAATTTAAGAACAATTACTTTATATTAGACAGCACATGATGAAGCACATATACTGGGCCTGCAATTATATTTTTGAGGCACACAAGTTCTTACTAACTTGCATAAGTAAAAAAATTGCAAACTTTGACTCTGAATTTTCCATGACCTCTGGTTAATGTCAGCTTTATGGTAATTAGCAGTGTCTCTGGATAGCAAACACATGCAGCCTATTTCCTTGAATCACACTAGATATGAGTACGTAGTACTGGATGTTGGGTAAACAGTCCACAGTCCATAGCTATGATAATGTCCATAATATGATGGACATTAAAATTAATAAGCATCATCTGAAGAGTCATTTTTTTCTTTTTAAACAATGTAGTCGATCTAGGCAAAAAATAAAAATTAACAGAAGTTTTTATGTGTTAAAACCAGAGCCAGTTGGCTGCCTTTGTTAGGGTGACAAAATGCCAGCAAATCCAAAATCTTCACTTGCTTTGAAGACCTCATGCTGAATGAGAAGCTGTTGTTGAGATGCAGATACTCTTTGCAAGTATATTCATTTTCTTCTTTCTGGACTCACAAGAGAACAGAAAATTTAAGCAATAAATTATGCCTGTCCCTTTGAGATCAGAAAAGCTCAGAATGTGCACACTTTGAAGAACTGAAGCTGATCAAAATGAAGCATCTAAGCTATGAAACTGTAGAGACATTTGACTCTATGTAATACTAACTTCACTGAAAACTACACTAGATATTTCCTATTGCAGAAAGTAGTATGAAATTTCTTTATATCGAGCTCTCTGCTATTCAGGAGAATGCTCAGCAAAGTGGTTGATGAGGCTGTCGCTTGCAGCCCTTGATGGATAGCTAATATAAAACTCACCAAGTATTTCTCAACATGCCCTCTGAGCCATTTTTGCTGAATATGGATGTTCAGAAGTTCAAATCTAGCCAGCATAGGAAGAGATTTCTTTATTATGCACAACAGTGCCCTGGGTCAGAATAAAATAAATAAGTGATTGTTTTTGGTAACTTGGCATGTAAAAGTATTGCCAAAATTATATATTGTTGCCCGTATGTGTTAACTATAGTTATCTCTGTAAATAGAGCTGTACTTTTTCTGCAACAGGAATTTATTCTAATACTTTTATACTTTTCTTTCCTTAGCGGTATAATAACTACTGTGCCATATATATAGAAATTACTCCCAAGAATGTAACAAGCAGGATTCACACATTTAAATGATTTTTTTTTTTAAAGCTGAACTGTTTCCAAATTCTTCTATCCAAGCATCACTTAAGAAACTGTTTGTTCAGTTCAGTTTCATCTCTGCAGCTGCCAAACTACTTCAGTTCTGCCAGCTCTGCTCTCTGATTGCAAAATAAAGGGTGGTCACTTCACAGTGTATGCAAGAAATATTGTAATTTTGTGAAAATTATGACATTTAAGAAAATTCTTTCAATAGTAAATTGTTAGGCTATCCTGCTACTTGCCTATTTAGCAAAACCCAAAAAGAATCTTCTACAGTCACTTCTCCATACTTCCCTATAACATTAGTGAAAATAGTGTACCGGGTTTACATTTTCTAAGACTGAACTTTGCTGCAGCTTACATTCAAAAATATTTTTGTAGTATTATAGACTGTCAAAACAAATCTGTTTTCCTTATTTTTGTGTGTGCAGAAGGGTCCTTTTTGTCAATCTCTAAAGATAACAATAGGACAATAGTAACTGCATGAATTAGCAAAGCTTTTCTTCTTTTCTTTTTGTTTCCTTTTTTTTCTCCTTAAAATTGGAAGATGGGTGACAAAATGCATCAAGTAATTCCTTATTCTATGAAAAGTGTTGTTAGACAAATGCATTAACTATTTTCTTCTCTCATGTGCGGAGATCAGAGTCCCCTGTGTCCATACAGTGAACGGAAACACCAAGACATAGAACACAGGAACCTGCAACCTGTTTTCTTGAGAGGGAATGCAGAGAATCATCTGGATGTAATATTTTGACACATACATATTTTAAATTGTCAGAAAAGTAATCTCAATAGTTTGCTAGTCTCTAAATAAGGGGTTCCCACTTAAAGTAAAATGCATCATATTAATTTTACATAATATAAATACATAAATAAATAGTAAAAATGCATCATATTAATTTTAATCTGAAACATAATTTAAAACAAAACAGAGAGGGAAAAAAATGTAAGCTGCTTACTGATAATTTTCTTAAGTTCCAAGCAGTTTTCTTCTCAGTAAAATAATTTGCCTTAGCTGAAGAAGAAATTAAAGTGTACTTAGAAATAAAGAAGGAATAGAATGTTTGAATTTTGTTTTTTTACAAGCTTTTCTTTCTCTTGGTAATAAAAAAAATATTTGAGTTAAAATTGTGATAGAGAAAATTTCTTAGAACTAAAAAAATATAAGAACATGAATCTCTGAAATATAGAAGCAAAAAGAAAGGAACTTACTGTGTTTCTTGTTAGTGGAACAAATGTAAAAGTGAGAACTGTTACAGAATTCAGGTTTTTCCTGTGGCTAGCATTTTATCTTATTCAGAGTGTTGTTTCTATGAGATTGTGTTCTGTGTTTTTCCCATGCTGACCTGCATTTTGCTTGGTGGGAAAGCTCTGCTCAGAGTGATTCACTGTGGGGTGAGGAATCACTTTGAGGGCTGTTTTTTTGTTCACCTTGCATTATCACTGTGAAGTGCTAACACTAGCTGTAAGGCAATACCAACCATAACAGTAGTGTGTTGCACCCACTTTCTACTTAGTAATTATTGCAATTAACATTAATTCTGAATTAAATCTAATAGGAATAAAATTCTAGAAATAGGGATTGCACATTTTCACTGAGAATATTTTTGAGAGGTAGAGGCAGTTTATTTTTCTTCATATAAGCCTCATAACTAGTACTTGATACATTTACAGATACTGAGAATCAGAAAAAATTCTACCATGCCTCTTAGATGGGATATTATGTAAATATTAGCATTTGTTTGTCAAATAGTACTTTTGCATACACTTGTGCAGACCCACTGAACGGAATATATGCACAGATATGTCCTCTAGCAAATTGTTAACCCAGAGGGATATATCCTTTGCATCACAGCTTCATGCCAATCGCCACTTCAGTAAACACTGCCACATCACGATGACTGTTCTCCAGGAATTAGCAATGAGTTTGTTTATAATCAAGTTTATCAATATTTATAAAGTACTGTACTTAAGGGGATAATATATTGATAAAATACAGTTCTGAAATGCATTACATTTCCACATTATATTTAATGGCTAAAAATACATGTAGTGGGTGTGGAGTAATAGGGGCCATACCCCGCCCCCACAAACAGTTTCTTTATCACCCCATCTGTTACCCCAAATGCTAACGCTCAGGAACACCACTGCTTTGCAGCATGTTTTATTATTCAAGCCTTAGTGGGAGGAGAGCTGCAGAGAGAAAGTGTTAACTGCAGAGAAAGGGAGGGTCAAAGCAAGACCCAGAATAAGCTATATTGCTCCACTAATGCCAGGACAGTGGCACAAACTTCCGCTGGACCTGAACTGGCTACTAAGTACCATTAGAATAGAGTAAAACCTGCTAGGAAAAAAGGAACAGTGAGAAGGAGGTCTAAACACATTTGTGAAAGAATTAATAAAGAGGCTAAAGGTATTTACGTAGGCAGGGAACATATGGAGAGGAACAAGGCAGACTTTGAGAAGAAATTATTTAGCTTCATTAAAAAAAAAAGCAAACCCAAACCAAAAAAA